TCCTTTCCATGGAATAAATTCAGTATAATTCATCCATTTCCCTACAATGGACCCTTGGATTGCTTCTGGTTCTTCATTATTTTAAGTATCACTGCAATGAGTGTCCTGACTCGTCCCCTGATTGGCAAAAAATAGTTTATCCAGGGAATATGTCAAATTAGTACTGGTAGCTGTGGGCTATGCACCTCTTTGAGGTAATATATTACAAAGAAGCTGTACCAATACATATTCACAACCTCTCCGTATGAGTTTGGGTAGACGTTACTCGATACAATCAGGATTTTTGTTTTGACTTTGCTACACTGGAAAGTATGAAGTGATATCTTAAGAGTTTTAAGATGCATTTGCTTGATTACTAATAAAATTGAAAATCTGTTCTAAGTTTATTGGTCATTTGCTTTTCCTCTTCTGCAAATTCCTTTCCACATCTTGCACCATTTTTCTGCTTGGATGATTTGTCTTTTTCTTAGGAAATTTCTTTACATATTCCAAATACAAATTCTCTGTCAGCTTGCAAACAACCTATTAGTGACTTGCTTCTTCACTTTCTTCTTGTGTCTTTAGACTGATCTGTACACTAGATGTACACTAATGTACACTGATGATTACACATGATTATACATTGGTAAGTTTAACTACATTAAAATAAGAACTTATCCATTTTTTTCCTGTACAACTAGTACTTTTTGTGTCTTGTTTAAGAAATCTTTCTCGATCCTAACATTAGCAGATATTCTACATCACACTTTTTAACATATTTTTTATTTAAGTTCTATTTGCCAACATACAGTGTAACACCCAGCGCTCGTCCCGTCAAGTGACTTCCTCAGTGCCCATCACCCAGTCACCCCATCCCCCCATCCTACATCACTTTCTAAAAATGATAAATTTTCTCATATTGTAAGTTCTTAATCTACTATGAAAAGGATAAATGCTCGTTTCTTTTTAACACAGCTAAACAATTGCGTCAGCACTGTTTACTGAACAATTAGTTCATCTTTTCACACAGATCTGAAATGCTATTCTGTCAGCAAACAAGTTCCCATCTATGGACAGGTAGGTGTTCTCTAAACTTTATTCTGTTTTACTGGTCTATTTGTCTATATCAGCGCCAAAACAACAATGTCCTAATTATCGTATCTTTCTAAGTCATTATATCTGATGGACATAGCCTCTGATTTTGGCATCAATTTTATACTAGCTTCAAAATGTGTGTTCCCTCTTTTTATCTTTTCTGAAAAATCCTGGGAAAGATTTAAGTCATTTGTGTCTTAGATGTTTAGCAGAATTGGTAAATTACTAGTGTTTTCTTTACAAATAGATTTTTGACTAGTGATTCCATTTCATTTCACAGTCATAGTATGACTTGGTCCTTCTATTTCTTCATGAGTCAGTTTTGGTAAGTAGTATTTTCTAGAAATGTGCTTGCTTTGCCAAAGTTTTCAAGGTTTTTATGTAAAGTAGTGCAAAATTTCCTCTTACTATATTTTTTCATCAGCTTTTCCATACCTAATATTGGTTATTTGTGCACTTTCTTTTCCTTGACCAATCTTGCCATTGATTATTAATTTCTGCTCTTATTTTTATTATTTTCTTCCATCCTTTCTTCTATTCTCTCCCAACTTCTTAAATTGTATGCTTAGCTCATTATTCTTTTTAGCCTTTCTTCTTTTTTAATATGAGTATGTAAGATTATAGCTTCCAATCAAGTATCAGTCTAGCCACACCATACAAGATTTGATATGTAAGAGCTTTTTCATTTATTTCTATTGTCTAATTTCTAGTACGATCTCTTTTTAGATCTACAAATTATTTAAAAGTATGTTCTCTTTAATGTCTAAGTGAATTAGAGTTTTCAGGTCATCTTGTGTTATTGGTTTCCAAACTTAATTGCACTGGGATTAAAAACACTTTAAAAATACTTTGAAACTTATGGTCCATATGTGGTTAATTTAAGATTTTATCTATTTGAGACAGAGAGAGAGGGAGAAAGAACATAAGCAGGGAGAGAGGGGCAGATGGAGGGGAAGAGTAAGGAGCAGACTTCCCACTAAGCAGAGAGCCTGATGCAGGACATGATCCCAGAACCCTAAGGTCATGACCTGAGCCAAAGGCAGATGCTTAACCAACTGAGCCACCCAGGTGCCCCTATATGTGGTTAATTTTTAGAAATATTCTGTGTTCTTTAAAAGAATATGAATTCTCTAATTGTTATGCAATAGTTGACATGTATTTCTTATATCAAGCTTATTAATTATATTTTGTTTTTTTCTACATATCAATTAGTCATGAAATCATGTTAAAATCTCTCCCCATAATCATAAATTTATCCACATTTGTGGTACTGATCAACTTTTGCCTTATAGATCTTATAGCAAACAAACTTAGAATTCTAACACCCTCCTTGAAATTAACTATCATTAAACAATAATGCTCTATTAATGCTCTTTGCCAGCTACTGATAAAACTGCACCCATACTTGGGTGGGCAGGGGAGAAGAGAGTCTTAAATTTGCTTGAAACATCTTTTCCCATCCTTTTACTGTCACTCTTTCCATGTCTCTTCATTTTAAGTAGTTCTTGCTAAGAAACACGTCTCACAACTCTGTTTTTGTTTATTTTCCTTTATTTCTGTTTTTTTCTTTTATCTAGTCTAACAATGTTTTTCTGGGGGGTATGACTAGGGATTAGGCCCATTTATAGTGATTGTGATTGATATATTTGCGTTTAGCTGCCATTTCTTTTGTGCTTTCTCTCTGTCCTATCTTTTCCATGTTTCACCCTTCCTTTTTAATGACATTTCAGTTTTTTTTTTATTTATTTTTTATTCATGAGAGACACAGAGATTGAGAGGCAGAGACACAGGCAGAGAGAGAAGCAGATTCCATGAAGGGAGCCTAACGCAGGACTTAATCCTGGGACCCCAGGATCAGGCCCTGGGCTGAAGGCGGCACTAAACCACTGAGCCACCCAGGCTGCCCCTTTAATGACATTTCTAACAGATGAACCTCACCATCTTTTAAGGGAGTTAAAAAAAAAAAAAGAATAGTATTGTCTCACCACCTCCTACTTCACAGACAATGATGAATTAAAATTCAGTGGTGAGGGGCACCTGGGTGGTTCAGTCAGTTAAGTGACTGCCTTCTGCTCAAGTCATGATCTTAGGGTCCTGAAGCCCCACATCGGGCTTCCCTGCTCAGCACGGAGTCTGCTTCTCCCTCTCCCTCTCCCTCTGCCACTCCTCCCTGGTGTCTCTCTCTCGAATAAATAAAATCTTTAATAAAATCTTTATACTCCTATATAAATAAAATTCAGTGATGAAAAGCTTTCCTAAAGTTATAAAGCTAATCAGTGAGAAAGCCTAGGACCTAATACACCATCTAGTACTCTTCTGCTACACTGCAGTTGGCCCTTACCTATGGCAGTAGTATTAAGATCGGACACATTTCACAGATCCTCAACATATTTCACCTTCCAGTCACAGAAGTAAAAGTGACAGGTATTAAGCCATTCACTTTACAGATGGGAAAACTGAGACCTAGGGGCAGAGTAAGTCATTTACATAAGGGCAGAGAAACTTTGGTTAAACACAAAAAAGTTAAATTTCTAGAAAACTTGATCTCTTAAACAATATATCAAACAGAAATTTGCAGAAGAAAAGAAACCCATTAATGAGGGTTTGGGGACCTACAAAATCCCTACTAGCTTTGGGATACCCCAAACATGTATTATTATTGGGTCTACTCAGAAAGTCCTACAAAATGTTTTAATATACAAAAGATCTGACAGCCTGTAATGATTTTAGTTTTTGCCATTTTGGAAGATAGAGACAACTTTAGTACAAAAAGTAATCAATACAGTATTTAAAACAAAGAAAGTTAATGTGCCATTGGGATATCCTATCTTCCAGAATGAGAAAAGTGAGCTTAAAAAGTACCAATTTTCAAAAAAACAGCTAAAAAATAGCCCAAGTCCGGTGCACATCTCTAACGGCCTGGTACCCTCTTTTCTCAGTCTCACATTCCAGTCTCTCTCACTCAGAGGCTCCTGTTGCTTCTGCTTCTTCACATCCAGGAGCCTCTAAGAATCAAACATAATCAAACATCTTTTGTAGACTGACTTCAAAGTCAGTTTTGGGTTATATCATCTTTACTACATAGATTTCCAAGCACGGACTCATTTTCTTTTTTTCACATTAGGAATCTATGGAGTCAACAAGCATATATCAGAGGACACTGGATAAAGGTTGGCCCCTCTGCTACAGAAAGATCCTCTTGGTAGTATCTCAGATCCCTTGGTAGGTAATCGATCAAGTCCAGAGGCTCTCAATCCTCCTGCATGCAAAAGCACTTCTCATACATCCCCTTTGAAGTAGCCCTCGTTCTCCAATCCTGGCCAGGGCAAGAATAAAAAATACTGCTGGAATTCTGATCCATAACAGCAACCATGGCATAAATTACTTGACATTAAAATTATTACCATTTAATGATACCATTCACTCTACTTTCTTCAACTCCTATGAGAAATCACAGGTCCTCGACAAGCACTTTTTTTAAGTAAGATCATTTGCTTAGGTATAATCTTAACACCATTTGAAGTTAGTTTTATTCTAAAGCTTTCATATTCAATGACTTTAAGATTTTATTTATTTATTCATGAGAGAGAGAGAGAGAGAGAGGCAGAGACACAGGGAGAGAGAGAAGCAGGATCCCCACCAGGAGCCCGATATGGAACCCAATCCCAAGACCTCAGGATCACAACCTAAGCCAACCGCTGAGCCACCCAGGCACCCCATATTCAATGATTTTAAAAATAACTTGGAGGAAGCAGGTGCAGGATAAGAATGCATGAAACCTTTATCATAAATGTCTTATTGATCATCAGCAAGTCTTTCTTATCTTTTCCAGGCTTCTGAGGCTAATATCCACATCTTCTGATTCCCAGTTCAGGATTCTTTCCTCTCAAAAGAGACTTAAAAGGAAACAAGGCACATAATCATACCTTTCTTGCAAGCACATTGGCCATCTGAGACACAACCACGTGGCCAAACAGAAACCGCACCAGCCGCTGTTTTCCCCATTCCATCCAGAAGCTCCATTCGAAGTCATTTGGGTCCTAAAGAGCCCAAAAGAGGAGTTAATCAGAGGGATTTTTATACATCTTAGGCAGAACAAACACTCCAGTCAATAAAACAACTAGAAAGAAGGCCAATGTGAGTCCAGACTCCATAAAATGGCATTTATACACTTTCAGCCCAAATGCCACCACGGTCCCACCCATCTATGTTCTTCCCTCCAGCTTGTCTGGTCTCATTGCTGTTCTCCAAATAAGTATCTTGTCAAAGCTGATCCCCCAGGACCCTCCATGGAACAGAACCCATTATTATCCCCCATTCTATAAAAGATGAAATAGAGGCTTAAAGAATTCAATTCTTGTACCCAGTGTCACACAGATAGCACAAGCAATGAATTGAGGTTGTCTCAGGTTAGCCACTCGAACAAGAGAAATGCAAATTGGACGCTAATAAAATTGCTTAAGGTCAATCGTGTTAATTCTTGCTGCCATTTCAAGAAGGAGGATAATTTGATAGAGAAATTAACCAATTCCCCATAGGATTAGAATGAAAGAATGAAAGATATACTTCCCTTCCCTTCAGGAAGCTCTGTGTCCATTAGCACCCCATGTCTGGACCTGTACCAGGCACGGTGTCTCTGTAGCTCCTTGGCAGGGGCAGGTGAAAACTTCTGGCAAGACTGGATGAACAGCTGGGAACTAACACCCAAAAGCCTTGGTTTGGCCTCAGGAGCCCCAGAGAGATCGTGGTGGCCAAGTTGAGTATGGAGGGAACAAACAGTGATTGGCTACTCTAAAATGGGCAATGCAGGGTTGGCCAATGAGCATCTCAGCACCACCATGATAAAGTGGGGATGTGAGATCCTCAGGATTTCCTGGCCACATTGCATGGGTGGGGAAGGAATCCTCTAGTGACTACTGATACTAAACAAATCACCAGTCTCTGCCAACAGAACTTTAATGGGATTTAGAGGGAAATATGATTTTTTTTAATATCTGAGGATTGAGGGGCAATTTCATACCATTACTCATATTATAAAACTTTTTCCATAAAGTAAAATATAGATAGAATTTATCTTGATTCATATCAGACTATGAATACAGAAGTAGGAAACCTAGCAGCCAAGGTTGCAAACTGGTTTTGGTTTAGATCCCAGATCTACCCGTGTACTGGTTATGATCTTGAGCAAGATGCTTTATCTTTCCATTCTATCTGCTCATATGATAACATTACTGAGCATCTAGGGGTTTGTGAGGGATTTTGTTGGTTGTTTTTTAAAAATTGATTTATTGGACAGACACAGAGAAAGAGAGAGTGCATGGGGATGAGGGAGCAGGAGAGAGAATCTCAAGCTTGCTCCATGAGATCATAACCTGAGCCAAAGTTGAGAGTTGAATGCATAACTGCTTAATTGACTGACTCACCCAGGCACTCCAGGGTTTGTAAAGTTTAAATGAAAACATTTATACCAAAAGCTTATTTTTTAAATATTTTATTTATTTATTCATGAGAGACACAGAGAGAGAGGCAGGCAGAGACACAGGCAGAGGGAGAAGCAGGCTCCACGCGGGAGCCTGATGTGGGACTCGATCCCGGGACCGTGGGATCACGCCCTGAGCCGAAGGCAGATGCTCAACCGCTGAGCCACCCAGGCATCCCACATTTATACCAAAAGTTTAAAAAAGCACCTGGCATGCTGCACTCACTACAAATTATCACTCGCCGCTAACTGCTAGTCTCAGTACTTCCTATCCTTTGTTAACCAGCCAGATTGTGTCATGCTTTACATTGTAGTACTTGTTAAAACTTTGGTTCCATTTTCCAAATAAAAATGGTATTGTACATTATCAAATAACACATGTTCTCTACATTCAAGATTCCAATACACACACAATCTGCTCATAGAGCCCTCATCCCCATAAAAATCATGGATCTGATCCAGTTCCTTCTATTCAAAAATGATGACATTAGAGCCCAGGACATGCCCATGCCACATAGCCAGGCAGCAGCAGAGTGGAGAACTCAAACCTTTAACCTGGCTCTTGACCCTGGTCCAAAGATTGTTTCTCCATTCTCAAAAATTTCAAACTAGTGGAGAATAAATTAACTGAATAAAGGCAAACAAGGGGGCACCCAGGTGGCTCATTCAGTTAAGCATCTGACTTCAGCTCAGGTCATGATCCCAAAGTCCTGGAATTGAACTCTACATCAGGCTCCCTGCTCAGCGGAGAGCCTGCTTCTCCCTCTCCCCACTCATGGTCTCTCTTGCTATCTCTCTAATAAGTAAATAACAAATAAATAAAACGTAAAAAAAAAGGGGGGGCAAACACGCTCAGAGGTCTTGTGATGATGTCAATGCTAAGAAAATGCCATTTTTGTAACAAAGATAAAGGTAAAAAGACACTAAAAGCCAAGCCTGATTTTTTTTAATTCCCCCTCAAAAACATCCCAACATTTTACCTTTTTATTTTTTTTAAGATTTTATTTATTTATTCATGAGAGACAGAGAGAGAGGCAGAGACACAGGCAGAGGGAGAAGCAGGCTCCATGCAGGGAGCCCAATGTGAGACTCGATCCTGGGACTCCAGGATCACGCCCTGGGCCAAAGGCAGGCGCTAATCCACTGAGCCACCCAGGGATCCCCCATTTTACCTTTTTAAATATAAAAAATGTTCTTAAACACTAAGAATTACACTTAAAATTCACAATCCCAGGGATACCTGGGTGGCTCAGTGGTTGAGCATCTGCCTTTGGCTCAGGGCACCATCCGGGGATCTAGGATCGAGTCTCACATCGTGCTCCCTGCATGGAGCCTATTTCTCCCTCTGCCTGTGTCTCTGCCTCTCTGTGTGTCTCTCATGAATAAATAAATAAATCTTTAAAAAAATTTTCACAACCCCAAGCTTACCTATGCTTCAAAACTTTTCCCACTTTATTTTTTTTTAGCAGGAAAATGACACAAAATATGAGAAACTAAAAAGACCTTGATGTTCCACCAGAAGGCCCAGGACTGAAAACCCTGTGCTGGTAAAACCCCATCAACAAAAATTACACAGTCTTTCATCATTAATTCCTTTTCAGAAAAGATCCATTTAAAGGAAATAAAAACATTTCTCTCATGTCTGTCTGTCCTCCATTTAAAATATTTACCTACAGGAAAGAACCGGACAGAAAGGCTGAGCCAGTGAACAGAACAAGATGGCCAATAACTAGCGGTTAATAATTCGGGTAAGAAAAATGTTGACTTGTCTGCTTTTATAGGCAAAAACTTTTCAGACACTGAATTCAATCACACAATTCAAGGCAAATGTTAGGGCCTCAAATCAAGAACAAGTTTTTTCAGATTCTGTTCCTTCCCCATTTCCTTTCTGAACCATGCAATTCTTAGTCAATTAGAAAACTATTCTTCAGTTCTTGAAGTGAGTCAGACATCTACTGGGGATACATTTTAGCCAGAAAGAACCAGGAAGGCTCCTCCGTAGAGAGAGGGGAGACTGAGCTCCAAGGGACAGTCATCCACATGCCATCTTCTGTGTCAGAGCTCCTCAGCCTTCAGAGTGCACACAAATCATCCATAGATCTTGCTAAAATGCAGATTCTGGCCCAGATTTTCATCTCTGGGATGGGGCCTGGAATTCTAGATGTCTAACAAGCTCCCAGGTGATGACAACTGCTGGCCTAGGGGCCACGTGTAGAGTAGCAAAGCTCTATCACTGATTAGGCCTCCCTACAGCTGAATATCCATCAGCCCAGAGGATCCTTAACAACTCACCCCACCTCATACGATTCCCAGGTAGGGACACACTGAAGTGCACCACCTAATATTCACAAACTGAACAGCCATCATCCTGCTCACTACGAAAGCTCTAAGCACCTATATTCAGAATTTTAACTTTTTTAAGATTTTTATTTACTTATTTATTTGACAGAAAGAGAGAGAGAGAGAGAGAGAGAGAGAGCGAGCATGCAAGTAGAGCTGTAGGCAGAGCTGCAGGCAGAGGAAGAAAAGCAGGCTCCCAGCTCAGCAGGGAGCCCAACGCAGGGCTCCATCCAGGGACTCTGGGATCATGACTTGAGCTGCAGGCAGATGCTTAACTTACTGAACCACCCAGGTGCCCCTCAAGAATTGCTTAAATGAGTAAGTTAATATGCACAGTTATTCATTTTGATGCTTTTAATCTGCAACCAGGCAAAACCGAGAAGTCTAAAGCACATGATAGTTCAAAAGAAAGGGCCTGGACTTGGTATTCTTAACTGCCTCTTTCCCCATATAAAGAGCAGAGTTCTGTTCCAGGCAGTGTGGGAAACCCTACAAATATTCCTCATCCTGGAGAACTCACAACACCAACCCCCCACATCAAGGCACTGAAAATCTACTGCAATTCCAGAGAGGTCACAGTGATGTAATTCAGCCTCATGTATAAGTGACACCTTTCCTTCTCATATAAATCACTAATATTCTGGGTATGTGTTTTCTAATGATAACCTCCCAACAACCCTTCTAGTCGTTTTGTTGTTGTTGTTTTGTTTTAAACTCTGTGTGATAGATGAGTTAACTGGAGATTGGAATAGCCAAATTATTTGCTCAAAACTCATAGGAGAGAGATCCTCAAACTCAGGATCTTAAACACAGGCCTACCTATTCCAACAAGGATGTCCTCAGAGAAGCTAAACATCATGCCCCAGGACCAACATCCAATATATAACAAAGCCTGATTTTAAAGCTCTAGGTCCTAGCGTGCAAAGTCCGTATTTCATCTGGTAAATACATATAAGAATAGTTAAGATGATCAATTTTAAGGTACATCCCAGTTGCATTAAGTCCATTTATAATGTTATACAGCCATAACCACAATCCATTTCCAGAATTTTCAGCTAGAATATTCAACTGCTTGACTCAATAACATTAAATCTGACGTTATTTCTACACTTCCCTGGAGCCCTGGAGGGAGGATAGGTGGAGAATCCCATAGAATGATAGTAACTACTATGTATATATTCGTACTACGGATATATTTGATAATACATAAACAATAAACTA